GGTTATGAAATAATCAAGAACTGGATTTCTAATTTCAGCCCTTTTTATGTAATATCCTAGTATAATTAAAACACACCTGGAGATTATTATAATCGCCTGAAGAAGAGATTATAAATACAACTTCTTATGATATATAATCAACCAAGGCTGAGATTGTTGGGGCCAAATCCTCCTCCTCCTCCTCCTCCTTGAGGGAAGTTAGCATTGTACAGGCGAAAAGCGTACAAGTTAGATGCTCCATTTGATAGTGCCGTTGCTGATTGATAATCTCCACTGTCAACTAATCAGTAATTTAGATTTGGATCCTCATACTGTGCTTCCTTCATTTCCAAAATGTAATTAAACAAAAATGATAATCGAGTTGACCTATATACACTATCAAGAAAGGAAATAAAACAAGAAAGTGAAGAGTCTTACAAAGTTGAGCCGGATGTTTCCATGTCTTTCTGTTAGAATTTGAGTTGGGCCTAACTCCTCACCCAAAAGGCCTTATTGAGTGGGAGGATTGTCCACTCTTATAAACCCATTGGCTTGAGTGTGCCTAGTCGATATGGGATCTCCAACACTTTCCTCCAAGCTTTTTACCTGCCAATTTGATCACAAGAAAAAAAAAATAGTGAAATAACTGAATGTGGGTAATTAAAGAAACAAAAATAATTTGTTTAGTTTTGACCTTCTTCTTGTATGTGTCAGTCTGAGTTTTGATCACATGGTACTGTAAACAATAATGAAATTACGACTGTTAGCACAGATTAAACATCTAACATCCAAACCGAGACAGAAGCTTCCAAAAAAAAGAGGTCCATTAATAGATCTAAAAAGATCCAACCTTTCTTTCACAGACGGCATCGGCTGCAGCGGTCATCTTTTGCTCAAGACTGCGCAGTTCATCCATGCTTAGGTCGTCTAAATCTTCACCAATTCTTTGCCTTTAAATACGTACATATACCCTTATCAACCTTACTCTAATTTATTAACTAAAAAATCATAATTAAATACAATGACAAAAGACATAACTAAGAAAAAATTTAGGAGTTACCTGATGATAGAAGACACTGGACAAACGACTTGTAGTTTAGCCAACACCTAAATATGCTGATATATGTATCTGATTGTATTTCATTTCATTTCAATTTGTATTCTTTTCATTTCATTTGTATTTACACTTTACAGATGTCATAAGGATATTAGAGTAAGTTGTTAGGCGGTTATACTGTTGGCTATATATATTCTCCCTTTTCATTAATGAACAGTACACCTTTTGGGGATTCATTTCAAATCCTTCTTCTCCATCGATATTGCTCCTGTGTTTCATTGTTGCCCAGATTTCCATTTTTGTGCTTTCTTGCATGGTATCAGAGCAACTCAAGAGCAACCCCGATGGCAAACGCAGAAACCCCACCCAACTCACCCCGCTCCACCATCCCTTCCATTCCCAATTCGCCCATAGTTCAGAATCCTAATCCTCACCTAAACTCCAATACCCATCTCTCATACCTCAATTTCACCGATCCCTTTAACCCTTTTCGCCTTGATCACGGTGATAATCCAGCCATTACACTCGTTCCTAACCTTCTCACCTCTAATAATTATGCTACATGGTCTAAAGCCATGTGCCGTGCTCTTAGGGCCAAGAATAAACTGGGCTTCATTTCAGGTACCCTGCTAAAACCTACCTCTCCTACAGATCCATTATTTGATCTATGGGAGAGGTGCAATGATCTGATTGTTTCCTGGATCCAAACTCCATTAGCCCTTCCCTCAAATCTTTTGTGGCCTTCATCGATGATGCTAAAGAGCTTTGGCAAGACTTGTACGATCGTTTTTCCCAGCAAAACGGTCCCCGCATCTTTCAATTGAAGAGGGATTTAGCCAATCTTCTTCAAGAACGTGATTCTATAAGTATTTATTTTGGTAAGCTGAAATCAGTTTGGGATGAACTGTCTATTTACGATCCATTTCCTTCATGCACTTGTGGTACTTTAAAAACTCTTATGGATCATTATCAGAGGGATTGTGTTCTTCAGTTTCTGATGGGACTTAATGAATCATATTTTCCCATCAGAGACCAAATTATGTTGATGGATCCCCTTCCACCTGTTACCAAGGTGTTTTCCCTAATCCAATAACAAGAACGCCATTCTCAATTAACCTCTGTTATTCCCTCTTCAGAGACCATGGCCCTTGCTGTTAAGAAACTGTTCCCTTCATCCAAATACTCACCCAAACAAAACCCTAACCCCAAGAAGGATCGGTCATACTGCACTCACTGCAAGATTTCTGGCCACTCGATGGAAACCTGCTTTAAGCTTAGCAATGTTGTTGCTCCAGTCTGCTCCCACTGTAACCTCACTGGACATTCCTTTGAGAAATGCTACAAATTGAACGGATATCCCTCGGGCCATAAGTTACACGCCAAGCAGCAGCCCTATTCTGTTATTCCTGATGTGGATAATTCTAGTGATGACAGGGTTAATTTGACCAAGCATCAATACCAGCAGCTGCTGTCCTTGCTCCAACCAAAGGACTCTTCAATAGTAGCTTCTGTTCATCCTTCAAATATGTCTGGTATATCTTCTTGTTTTTTTTCACACACATAGAGCACCTCACCTCATTGTTCTTCAAATTGGATTTTAGACACCGGTGCTACAGACCATATGGTCTGCAGCCCTTCCTTTCTTACCACCGTTTCTTTTGTTGTTGCTTACTCCGTTAAGCTTCCTAATGGGAGTTTAGCTCATGTCACACATATTGGTCATGTTCAATTGACCAATACCATCATTTTAGGGATGTTCTATGTGTCCCATCCTTCTCTTTCAATTTAATTTCTGCCACCAAGTTGACTCACAACCTAACTTGTTGCTTGATGTTTTTTTCTAAATACTGCTTTATACAGGACCTGCCATCTTGGAAAACGATTGGGAAGGGTGAGCTCAAGCATGGTTTATACCACTTCATCTATTCAGACGTCTCTCCTTCAGCCCTTACTCAATCCCTTTCATTTTATACATCTTTTACTGCACACACCTCTATGGTTCACAATGTTAACCAATCTGACCTATGGCATTTTCGCCTAGGCCATTTATCCATTTCTAGGTTAAGAATGATCTCTGATCCCATTATAAACAAGCATGTTTCTACTATTAATGAAAATCCTTGTCCTGTTTGTCCACTTGCCAAGTTCCACAGATTATCTTTTCCACACAGTAAGCACACTTCTTCTAGGATTTTTGAATTAATCCATTGTGACCTATGAGGACCTCATTCCACTATTTCATATGATGGATCACGTTATTTCTTAACCATAGTGGATGATTTCTCTAGATCCACTTGGGTTTACTTACTTAATTCCAAAATTGAAACTAAAACCTGCATTACTTCCTTCTACAATTTGGTGGAAACACAATTTGGACTCAAAATTAAAATCTTAAGAAGTGACAATGGTGCTGAGTTTTGCATGACCAATTTTTTCAATGAAAAAGGCATAATTCATCATAAGAGTTGTGTTCAAACCCCCTAACAAAATGGCATTGTTGAGAGGAAGCACCAACACTTACTAAATGTGGCTAGAGCATTGAGATTCCAATCCAAATTACCTCTTACATATTGGAGTGATTGCATCCTTACAGCCACCTACATCATAAATCGGCTTCCCACCCCCATTTTACAAAATAAGACTCCTTTTGAGATCCTTTTTAATAAGAAACCACAATATGCTCACATGAAGGTTTTTGGCTCTTTATGCTTTGCAGCCCCTCTCTTACATGCTAGAACAAAATTTGATCTTAGGGGTCGTAGGTGTGTTTTTCTAGGCTATCCTTTTGGTACAAAAGAATACAAATTCTTGGATCTCTCAACTCACACAATTTTCATTTCAAGAGATGTTATCTTTCATGAGTCCATTTTTCCTTTCCACCAATCATCACAACACTCATCTTCCTCTTCTTCACAATCATGTTCACCTTTTTACTTTACACCCATTTCTGACCATCCTCCCATAGCCCCACTTTCCCCACCTTCCCCTCTATATCCTACAGAATCTCCACCATCCCATACTACAATCCCTTCCTCACCTCTCCCTCCTACCTTCCATGCAAACCGCAACCGTGTTGAATCGATCCTCTTCCTCCGTGATTTTGTACATGCCAAAGTATCTCTCGATTCTGAAAAGCCACCCATATGGGTCATCTCCTATAAAGATTGGTATATCCAGTTTTCGGCCACCATACTCCGGTCTCCCTCGCTCATGATTGTTGCGATTGTCATTTGCCTCCCTCTTGTTTTGGTCGTTTTCCTCATTAGCTCCAGCTGATCCACTCCCTCTCCCTTTCTAGCTTCTTCTTCATCTTTTCGTCTCATCCATGCCTGCATCTCAACCAAACACTCTCTAATCGTACTCAATTCACTTTCAATCTTATCAACCCTGTTCTCCATTCTTATACCAACCATAACCTTGCTCTGATACCACTTTGATAAAGAGCTGGTCTGCCCCTGTCACACTGCCCTCACAGACACTCCCAGATTACTTTAATTCTACTGGTTGTCAACCCAGAATTTTCAGTCAACCAATTCTAATCAAAATACTACTCTCAATGGAACACAACAATGTTGGACAGATTCGATAATTATACTCAATGACAGTTCAAAGTAAATTCTATTAAGATAACAATTCTCTTACAATTCAAACAAAGCATTAATCAATTAAATCGGAAAATAGCTCATCCAAAATGAGTCTGAATACAATAAGAACCCACTGGACTTCGAGAGCCAGCATCTCCCCAATTCCCTTCCTTTTACAAACTTTGATATCCCTACAGATCTTTCCCGTTGCCTTTTATTCCTCGTGCTCTATTGTTCTACTAAATTTAGCTCCCCAACCACTCAGCATTTGCCACTTGTCACGTTCCCATAAACCCAAAACCACCCTCCATCACGCTTAAAGCCTGACCTAAGTCCCTCAATCCTCTGTTTGCACCCTTATTTTTCCTCCTATATACCAATGTATTGTTAGTCTCATCAGGCACTTGTAAGAAAAAAGAAAATTTACCAGTTGAAACAAGTGTTCAATCCCTAATCTTCAACATTCGCTTGGTAAGCTAGCATTTCATACTGTTTAATTCTATCTCCTACTTTCATCTTGAAAAAGAAGTCAGATTGAGGTACTTGTTGTATTCCTTTTCTTGACCAAGTTTTGCATATATTAAGACATTTTTTTCCTTTGAGCTTACTAAAACCAGGCATCAGATTCCCGTAGCAGAACTTTATATCATGCTAGAAAAATTTGTCCTTCTATTGTACTAAGGTTGGAAAAGTCATAACCCCATTTTCTTTACATCAATTTTCTGATAATGTTTAAGTGCTTTTCTTCCTTTATACTAAGGCATGTAATATTCTATTTATGGTTTCAAATTTCATCAAACTATTTATTGTCTGATTTGTGCAACATTTTGCATTATGGAAAAGATGAAGAATGGCATAAGGAGAGTGGTCAAAAGAACTCAGTATCAGTTGATGGTTGGTTTTGCTTTGTCACTATTCTCTATCCTTTCTTCATTTCATGATATTTAAACATAAAGCTCATCACAGCCTCGGGTTTCAGATTTTGTTTAATGTGCAGAACTGATTAACTAGTTGTCTACCTATACTGAGGAAATATACAAGGGCAAAACAATGAATTAAAGACAAATAATAATTATCGTTCAATGTCAAAAATTTCTTCAGGACACTTGTAACAGCACACAAGTTTTCCTGATGAAACCAGTGCTACATCTTTTGGATTTCACATTTTCTTGGTCAGTACATCTGATGTACATCTCAGTTGTATTCCTGTAAATAATAGTTGAATTTTCATGTCACATTGTGCTTTTGCATCAAATGTTCATGGAATGATTAATTGATCGAGATTCAAGACAAGGAATTAAGAGTTTGAATGGAAGATTTAACCATATTCTTGTTAACCGCTCTCTTATTTTGAAATTTCTAGAGATAATGTGTTTAAGAAATTTAACTTTTATCTACACACACACACTTTATATTCTGTTTTCATCTAGTGAAATGTTAAGATTTAAGAGGGTGCATTTTAAATCTAGATAGTGAGAAAAACACATCAGTAATGGTTTTCAAAAACTACTTTTGAGAAAAACATATAAAGTAATGATTCATTTTTTGATTGATGCTGAACAGGTTCGTTAAATAACTGTCAATGCCTTTCTCATGTCGTATGCCAGGGAGCTAGCTTCTTCAATTGCACTGAATTCCCCATATGAATTACTTCTATGATTCATTGAGGTTTGTTTTCTGAATTTTATGCATCAAGCATGTTGAAAATTTAAAATGCCATTTACTTCTGAAGAAAACTTGACCTTTATATGTTAGTTATGATGCAGCAAATTATATGACAGATGGTGGCAGAATGAGGTTGTTTTTGCATTTCCTTTAAGGGCTTAAAAGTTATTGAATCAAGGCATCAAATTTCATCTACAGAACTTTCTATCATCCTATATATATCTTCTATAATTTGTTTCAACCATTTTTTGTGATAACAACTTTTAAAAACAGAACATTGTTCTTAAGATTAAATTAGTGTTTGAAAAGAATGATATCAGAGCCTTACAAAATTTAATTGTCATTTTTTTTTTCAAATTCGTTTGTTGAAAACTAGTTATAAAATGATATTAAACAGGGCTAAATGCATTGACTTTATCTTACCATTGAATCCCTCTTTTGTCAGGGAACTGCAACTAGAGAATTGAATTTTAATCTCTGAAATCTTTTGATGGCTCATTGAGGTTTGTGTTGATTATTTTTCTATGTAATTAGGTGTTGAAAATTTAAAATGCCACTTTCTTTTTAAAGAAACTTGCTTTTGAAATGTCCTTAGATATCGAAATAATCAAATTTAAAATGCCACTTTCTTTTTAAAGAAACTTGCTTTTGAAATGTCCTTAGAGATCGAGATAATCAAATTTAAAATCCCATGAATTTGTTGAAGAATCAATGTAGAAATACTATTCTTTTATAGCAGACTAGAGTTGGCAAAATGAGTTCTTTTTGCACTTTTTATTTTTTATTTTTTTATTTATTTTTATTTATTTATTTATTTTTTTTTTTTTTGGCTTAGAAGTTACTTGAATTGAAATGTCTGTTCTGTTTGAGCTAAATTTCAGTTATTGATCAGAAAATGAAGGACAGACATAAATGCAGGAGACGTCATTGATCAACATGTGATAAAAGGGGAATAGGCCTGATGAAACTGTTGAAAAATGAACCTATTGTGGTGCGTGCAGACGTGACTCAAGTTGAAGAAACAAAGAAGAAACAAGAAAGTTCAAAAATGGCTCAAGTTGAAAACACAAAGAAGAAACAAGGAAGAAGTAAACGCATGACGCGACACAAACGTGTCTTGATGAAGAAAAGAAAGAAAACTGTAGCAAAATGATGAAGAAGACAAGACGAACGATCGCTGCAGCAAGCGCTGAGAAGCGGCACTGAACGTGAAGAAGAACGACAGCTGCGATGATGGAGATGGTGGCTGCGGCGAGCGTCCTAAATCGCAGAGTTCCAGTTTTATTCATTTTTCTAGTATTCTAGTTTTAAAACAACTCTTATTCATAAGAGATTTAGTTGAGTTAAATTAGGGAAGTAGAACTTGATTAGGAATATTAGTTCATAAGAGTTTTGTTTGTATTAACTAGGAAAGTAGACTTTGTTTTGAAGTAGAAATAGTATTTTCTTTCTTGTATAAAAGCAGTAAAACATTGATGAATAAAATATGAGAGTTCATTGTTTTCTTCAGTAAAAGTATTAACGTTTATTGCTTCCAATTCCAACAGAAATGGGTAATTTAATTCGTTTAATCACACTTTTTTTATTTTCAAAAGGCAACAATTTCTTTTGTTGGCCCAAAAGTTAAAGACATTAGTTGTCATTGAGCTTACATGAAACTAGGCATCAAATTCCCTTTTCTTGACAGAACTTTGTATCATTCTGGAAAAAGTTGACAGGCCTGAAAATATTTTGTATAGTCTATGTCCGAACTCCTTGAAGGTCATAACCCCACTATTTATAATTTTGGAATATGGAAGAGAGGAAGAATGTCATTAGGAGAGTAGTCGAAAGAAGTCAACTAATGGTTGGTTATGCTTTCTCTCTAATCTTTTATTCTTTCTTCATTTCTTATCGAAAAGCTTTGTGTTTCTGATTATGTTATTTGCTTTAATACATAGAATTGATTACTAGCTGGGCTACCTATGCTGAGAGTTTACAATTATTTGAGAGTTCAATGGCAAAAACTTCGTTAAGGCACTTGCTTGGTGAGTAGCATCTCATCTATATTGTTATCTTCTACATTTATTTTTCAAAATTTTTTGATTTTTCTAAATCACCTATGGATGTTCAAGCCTTTCTTGAGAATTAACATATAATCATTGTCATATAAAATCCTTTAAAGAATACTTGTATTTCCATGTAACAGTGTGCTTTGCAACAAATGATCATAGAATGATGAATTTATCGGGACGAGGAAGTCAAACATAATGGTACAAGTATGGTAGATGAGATAAAATATAAATGATTTTGAAGGTTATTGTGACAATACGACCAAATTGAATGGGAAGGTCTCATCACCACATTAGCCTGGTGATTATGGCTGAAACAATTGTTTCCAGTGTCCTGCAGCAGCTCATTTCAATCATTGGTAAAGGGATTCAACAGGAGGTGACGCTAGTCATTGGTGCTGAAAAAGAAGTTAAGAAGCTTAGGAACAATCTTCAAGCTATGCTCATTGATGCAGAGGAAAGACAAGTGACGGAGAGAAACGTCAGACTCTGGCTTCCCCTGCTGGCAACTCAGGTTCCCTTGCTTTTATCTTCGAGAGTTGTATTACCAGTTGAAATTTCAGTTGATGTCGGTCCAGTGGTAGTTCTCAGCCACCTATCATATAGGACTTGAAACTGAAAATACTGCAACAGCTACGGGTTCAAAACCTTTTTTACTAAAATATTGACGCCTCAAATCATGGGATTTATATTGCCTCTCTTTTAATATTTTTATCACAATTGATTGCTGAAGGAAACAATTAAATTGCACAATAATTGAATCAAATTCTAATCAATTGTATACTTCAGAAGATTGGTGTATCATTTGCAGCTTTACAAAGAACATTAAAATTTCTTAACAAATGACTTGGTAAGATTTTTTGGGAAAATGAAGGAAATCATTCAAGAATGAGGCCATTTTCTTCAGGATTCCTGGTTTTCAGCCAGAATCTTTCTTAGCCTTTCCTTTAATGGTTTGTTTGGAGGAAGCATTTGCTTGACTGAACTAGCTTCAATCAATCAAATAGGGGGATGTCTGATGTCTCAATCATACTATATCATACTTTCATTTATAATGCTCTCCTTGTTGAACATCAATTTAGGTGCTGTCACTGACATAAGTTCAGGCGTTCGTGTTCTGCCTTTTGTGCAGACTAAACTTTAGAAAGTGGATCAAATGCTCCAAGAGTTTTTGCATTCCTTTATTTTCCCCTTGTTAAATCATGTCTGTAGAATTCTCGACACGAATTTCATGTCAACCATCTTGCACAAGGAGCCTTTGTGCTGATAGAAGTGCATTTTCTAGCTGACTTCTAAGAGGGCTGCAACTCATCTTCCTCCCAAAATCATAAGACATTCATATACCATCTCCGCCTGCGGATGGGTCTTATCTTCTACATAGAAAGGTTGAATCCTTTTTCCAATCTCAATCCAGCAATAACCAAGGTTCTTCTTCAAACCAAGCTCTTTCATTTTTAATCTTAGCTTTCGTATTTCATCCCATTTCTTGACAGATGCATACATGTTCGACAAGACAATATAAGTTGATGGATCATCAGAGTCCTTCTCAATGAGCAATTTTGCAATCTTCTGTCCCAGTTCTCTATCTTGGTGCAGATGGCATGCAGAAAATAGTGTGCTTAACAGCCCAACATCCTCCTTGATCTCTGATGTGCTCTGTAGAATTTGGTAAGCTTCGTGTAATCTTCCAGCAATTCCAAGAAGATCAATCAAGCACGAGTAGTGTTCAATTTTAGAGGTCATTTGACTGAAATAATTACAACCTTCATCAACCAATCCAGCATGGCTATAAGCTGATAAAACTACAAGGAAAGTAACGTTGTCTGGTTTTGCATCGGATTTCTGCATTTCATCAAAAAGCCTTAAAGCCTCTAAAGCTTGACCATGAGACCCATAAGCAGTGATCATAGAAGTCCATGACACAAGATCCGTCTCTGGTAATTTATTAAATACATTAAACACTTCATCCACAGCACCACATTTAGCATACATGTCAATGACAGCCCCCATGACTATTTCATTGGTTTCTAGCTCACTCTCAACAATATACTTGTGGATCTCTTTTCCCTTTTCTAAGGCTGCTAGCTGTGAACAATGCTGGTAAGACACTAGTGAATGTTACAGCATCTGGTTTTACATCACTTTCTTTCATGCCACCATAGAGAGTAAGGGCTTTAAAATAATCACCAACTGTCACATATCCTGATATCATAACATTCCAAGAAACTAGATTTGTCTTGCTCATCTTATCAAAGACATTTTCAGCTGAGCTAACACTTCCACATTTAAAATAAAGATCGATAAGTGAGCTATTAATAAAAATATCAGCTTGTATTCTGTTTCTTATTAAATATCCGTGTACAAATTTACCATGTTCAAGTTTGGCTGATCTAGTACAAGACATTAATGTGCAACTCCTTGTAATAAGAGTTGGCTTAACTCCTTCCTCATTCATCCTCCTAAAAAGCTCAATGCATGATTTGCTATCACCTTTTGAACTGTATCCTGCTATCAACGCATTCCAAGCAACAACATTTTTCACTGGCATTCGGTCAAAAACCTCTCTAGCCATCTCCAAACAACCACATTTGCCATACATGTCCACAAGAGCAGAACCAACATAACTATCAAAAGCAATCCCATCTTTCACAAATTCCTCATAAATCTCCTTCCCTCTTTCCAAATCCAAAAGCCTTGCACACGATGAAATAACCATTGTTAACGTCACCGAATTGGGCTCAAACCCAGAATCCCTCATCTTTCCAAACAATTCCAGCACTTTCCCAGCTTGACCCTCTCGGTAATAACAAGAAATAACAGTATTCCAACTCGCAACATCTCTCTCAGACATTTCATCAAACACCTTAATCCCATAATCAAACCTTTTGCACTTTGCAAACATCCCCACAAGAGAGCTAACGACAACAACATCCAATACAAACCCTGTTCTTATCAATTGGGTATGAATCAATTGGCCATAACTAACTCTTCCTAATCCACCACAAGCCTTTAACACACTTGGGTATTTGTAACTATCGGGTTTCAAAAATGGGTGCAGCACTAACCTATCAAAAACCTCAAGGGCTTCAATGAACATATAGTTTTTGGCATAAGCAGCCATGAGGACATTCCATAAAGAAAGGTCTAACGAATCTTCTAAGGTTTTGAAAATAAGCTTGGCATAGTGATAGTAGTGGCAAGAGAAATAGAAGTTGATGAGGTTTTTGCACAAGGCTATGCTGTTTTGGAGGCCTCAAGTGACTACTTGTTTGTGGATTAGTTTGTCTTTTAACAGTGACTTAGAGCTAATGCTTGTTCTTAACAGAGATAATAGCTTTGTTGTGTCCATTCAAAATCAAGAATTTGGGTACAGTGGTGAAGTTTTATCTGAGAGAGGACAGATTGATTTACCTGAAAGCCTGCAATGACATTCTTGCATGGAGAGTAATTTTGTAAAGTGGTTCCAAACTCAAGTCGCCATATTCTTTTTCTTGCTGTTATATAAGTTGGAAACGGCACAATTTAGATATAATTTGTCTAAATCCATTAATCTAATTGAAAAGTTATATATAAAAAAGAGGAGAAAACTTATATGAGACAGTCTCCTCACCTCATTTTGTTGCTGTAGTAAAACTTAAAACCGTCCAATAACGTGAAAATGTTGTTATCATATATTAGGTGTAATCATTTAATTGAATGATTTCACTATGTTAATATGATGAGATAATCCCGTATAAGTATCTTTGAAATACTGATAATTTTGAAGTTAACCTGTATTATATAAATATAAAATTATTATACAAAAATTGCGCTTGGGAAATATCTCAAACGTGGATAGCGTTAAAAGATTACAACTTAAAGAATCAGAAAAACCTCTTTGGTTTCCTTTATGAGTAATGCTACATTCACAACCTCTTCTCATAAACTTTCTCTTACAACCCCCAACGTGACAACTTGTAATTGGTCAACCACAATTTATTATGTGAGACCCAGGTGGAACCTATTATGAACTTACTAATTATGAGTTGCCACGTTGGGATTGTGAGAGGAAGTTTGTGAGAAGAGATTGTAGTGAAATATTTTCCTTTACTAAATTTAAGAAAAGATAAAGGAGAGAGGTCAAAAGAGGATTCCTACAACCATCTTTTAAGGCTATGGCATTACAAAGGCAACACAAGCTTTCCCGACTGGATGTTGTCCTTAACCAAGCTCAAGGACTTCGCACTCTTTGCATGCAGAAAATGTAAGCATTTGCCTCCCTTGCGGAAACTGCCATCACTTTAATGTTTAGAAATAAAATGGATAAATAGTTTGAGAAGAGTGAGTAATGAATTTTTGGGTATAGAAAGTAGGAGTGTTTGGTTCTGGGTACCTTGCATTTTTTGAAGGTACCGAAACCAGAACCGATGGTTCCTTGAAATTTGGACGCAGAACTAGAACTGATGGTTCTAGTTCCCAGGCACCCAGAATTGGAACTTGTAACAACGGTTCCGATTTTGGGTACCCTATAAAATTTAATTACCCCCAAAAGTTTTTAAAATGGCAAAAAAACCCTTAAAAACTTACAAATACCCCCCCACCTGGCACAACAAAAATAAAATTATAAATTCAAAATTATGAACTCCATTACTTTATAAAGGTAGATTCTCAAAATTTAAACCAACTTACTTTAAATATTATAAAATATAAATATAAATGTATTAACATTACTTTTTCTACAAAAGTTTTATTAACCCCCTTACTCTTTAATTTTATTTTATATTAGTCTCGATTCCCAGTTTCGGTTCCTAACTATAGGAACCGAAACCACACAGTAACGGTTCCAAAAATTTGGAATCGGAACCTATCTGTTGATGGCTGGTTCTGGGTATGAACTAGAACCAAACCCCGGGTACCCGTCGGTTCCAGTTCCAATCGGTTCTTTTGAACACCCCTAATAGAAAGTATTGGCACATCTTTATCTTTTATTTTCTTCCCCTAATTGAAAAAAATTGTTTTGGCATATGAATGAATGAGAAGGGTGGGATCATGAGATTAAAAGAAATGGTAAAGAAGAAGATATTACAATAATGCCCCAAATTGAAGGCACTACTAGACAACCTTGTCCAAGAACAGAAGGTCGGAAAAAAGAATTTCGAGGGTTGTCCCTTACTAGACTACCCTTGAAGGCAAAAATCAGAGGTAATTTTTCCTTTTTCTTTTAGTAAGTCCTTTTGTTCGATCCAAATTTCTGATTGAATATTTAATCACTTCAACTTTTTTTTAGTGTTTTTTTTTTTTTTTTTTTTTTGGTAATCAGGGTTGTTGGGGCCAGCTTGCACATACATTAACTAATCCTTTAGGGCCCTAAAGTTAACGACCAGGTAATCCTCCAGTGGCCACCTTTATTAGCAACCGAAGAGAATTGAACTCAAAACCTCTTGAATAATACACCCAAGAGTCCCAATTGACCATCTAGCCACCCAAGGGTTGGTTTAGAAGAAAGTACTTGATGAAATAATCAACACTGCTACTCCATCTACTTGGAACATCTCCAATATACTTCGGTACAATCGTGGCCTTCATAACTAGCAATGTTTTATCAGGAGGAGAAGATTATTGAGGACAGTCTCATGAGGGTCAAGTTTTGTTTAGTCTTAAGCTTTCTGTATTATTTATATAAACACTTTGTTTTCTTTTATCATCAAGTGAAACTTTTAAGGGTGTGAAGTATTTTCATGGCTATTGAGATTAATAAAACAGAGCATTTTTTTTTCAAAACCAACATGGGAAATTTTATCAGTGTATCTTCTTAATCTAGAAATGTAATATCCCACTTGAGGTACGTATTTAAGAGTTGTTGTATTAGTTAAAAGTTTATTGTTTCAACTTAAATTGAGTTTGTATGTAGAGTTGGTTGAATTGTTGCCTTGAAAATGGGTTGAGTTTTGGTGAAGTTGGAAATCCAATCTTCGCCGGGGCGAAGAATAAGCTTCGCCGCGGCGAGGAGGAGNGCAACTCAAGGGTTGGTTTAGAAGAAAGTACTTGATGAAATAATCAGCATTGCCACTCCATCTGCTTGGAACGTCTCCAATATACTCCGGTACAAATGTGGCCTTCATAACTAGCATCTCATCTATATTTCTATATGCTACATTGCTTCGTTAAAAAGAGCAAATTGTTATTGATGATAGCCAATTACCTATTCATGTATACACAATCCCTTTTTAGAATTAACATCATCATTGTCATTTTTAATCTTCACATTAATATTAATGCTTGCATCTTCATGTCATAGTGTGGTTTAACATCAATTGATCATGGAATGATGAATGGATGCAGAGAAGGAATTCAAACATAATGGTACAAGCATGCTAGATGGGAAGATCTTATCAATGAAAGTGGTGACTTATACTTTCCAATTTTCTGATAATGTTGAAGTGCTTTTCACTTTTTACAAAGGCATGTAATTATCTATGCATAGTGTCAAATTTCATTAAATATTTATTGTCTCAGTGAGCTTTTTACATTATGGAAAAATGGAAGAATAGCATTATGAGCGTAGTCAAAATAATTCTATTAATATGGAGTTAATGTTTCGTTATGTATTCTCACTAATAATCTTTATTCTTTCTTCATTTCTTGATGTTTAAACAGAAGCGCATCTCAGAATCATGTTTCTGATATTGTTATTTCTTTCATGTGTAGTATTGATTGTGTAATCATGCTACCTATGTTGAGAGTTAATAATTTCTGTCACTGTTCAACTAAGGAAATACTCAAGGGGTAAAGAAATGGCAGAAACTTCTTATAATGTAGTTGCTTTCATAAACATGTACATATGTAAATACATATTCTCTTTGCTTATATACATAAGCTAATCTCCATTAAATCCTAAAAAGAGTTTACACTCTTTGGCACTTGAGAATTTCGGCTAATTTAAGATATGCTCGGTAAATTGAACTAGATTGGTAGTTAATGAGTTTGCACGAAATAGTATATTTGCCCAACACTATACACTCAAATAAGGAACATATCACTAATGTAACAAAATTAGAAACTTAAGGTTAGTAATTGATCGTTTAGTAAAATTGAGGTACTTTAAGGGTTATCTTGCTGCTTACAAAAGTATCAATTATTGAAAGTGAAATTGATGTTTAATTATTTGAGAGAATGTTTAATCAAATCATTGGCTTCATTTGTCCAATCAAAGTATAAGTTGGTACAAGTGAAATATAAGTTTAGTTCTTTTCTTTTGATCTCCATTTACTCGCTTTCCACTCTTTCATCAGATTTTTAATTTCAGAAATGAGACTCTAACAAAGCAATGAATTTGAATTAAAGCTATATTCCATGCCTTAACCACCTTTAAAGCATCATATTGCGATTGCTTGGTGACCGAGAAAATCAAGTGTTGGGCAAGCATATTCAATTCTTTTTTCAATTACAACTATTTATAAAGAATTGAAAGCATATAAGCATTTTCACACTTACAAGCAAATCTCATATCTTACAATTCAAACACTTACCATCTTTGATATCATGGCTGATGCAATTGTTTCCGGTGTCTTGGGGCAGCTAAGTTCAATCATTGGTGACGAAATAAAGCAGGAGGTGAAGCTAGTTGTTGGTGTCGACAAAGAAGTCAAAAAGCGTAGGAGCAGTCTTGAAGCTATTGAAGCTGTGCTCGTTGATGCAGAGGAAAGACAAGTCAAGGAGTAAACCGTAAGACTTTGGTTAGATCGGCTCAAACACGCATCCTACAACATTGAAGATGTGTTGGATGAGTGGAACTACGCCATGTTGAAACAACAAATTGAGGGAGTTGAATATGTTGTTGTTCCTAAGAAGAAGGTGTGTTTCTTCTTCCCCTCATCTTGCTTTTCATTCAAACAGGTTAGTTTAAGCCAAGTTATTTAACGTCATGACATTGCAATGAAAATAAAGGAAGTTAATGAAAATCTAGATGTCATTGCAAAACAAAAAAATATGTATAATTTTAATGCGATTAGAAGTCTTGGAAAGTTTGAATGAGTAGAAATATGTACCTCATTTGTTAATGTGTCAGATATTTATGGTCGAGTTGAGGATAAGAATAATTTAGTACGCATGTTGTGCAAGAGTAATGAACAACACCCCCATATCATCTCTATTATAGGGATGGGGAGAATCGGTAAAACTACTCTTGCTCAATTTGCTTCTAAAGATAATGAGGTGATAAACCACTTTGATAAAGTAATTTGGGTGTGTGTGTTAGAACTTTTTGATGAATACAGGATAGCCAAAGCAATCATTAATGCTCTAGAAGGTTCTTCTTTGAATTTAGGTACACTGGAATCGCTTTTTCAGCATATTAGTATATCTATTGCTGGAAAGAAATTTTTCCTTATCTTGGATGATGTGTAGTCAAATGACTACAAAACATGGGAACCATTCTATCATTGTTTAAAGAATGGTCTCCATGGAAGTAAAATTCTGATTACT